TTTACTCATATATCAAAGTAATATAGTTTATGTGGGAGTTTCCCTAACCGACAACCACCACTATGAGCCTAAGTGGTGATACAACGTCTTGCCCACGGTGCCAAAATTGTCCTATACTTTGCCGTCATAGAATGCCTTAACTAAGTGGATCGACTAGTCTATGCTAAATAGCACTTAAGGAGTCATCTAGATAGTATGATCCTTTACTACCCATGATGGCTACATAGTTTATAGAGACTTGAGTTAATATGAACTCGCATCCCCATATCGGTGCTCAATACTACTCCCAAAATATATGTCACGCCCCGAGCTACCCCCGAGACGCGGACACGGGACCTAGGACCACAAGTGATCCCAACCTAACCCTGTTGGCATGATCATGAGCATGCTAAATATAATAAACTGATGCGGAAGCTAAATCATAAATAAATCTGAAAGATGGAGAATACCCATATACTATAACTGAGATATATGAAAACTGATGAGTTTAATACAAAGAAGATATTAACTCAACACTAAGCTGAATCTAACTATGTTTGAATTAAGCCTCTAAACTGACTAGAAATGTTGGGACATGCCCCAACTAGATCTAGAAAAAAACTGAAACTAAAGACTAAAAGCGATAAAGATAAACATGTCACTAGTCCTCGAAGAATGAGGACTCACCACTGATGTTGCTGAACTGAAGATCGGGAATCGATCAAAGCGTGATCTGGATGCTGAGAACCTGAACCTACATCACGAGAAGATGTAGCGCACGTATGCGTCAGTACTTGAAGGGTACTGAGCATGCAGGATAGAGTAAAGCTGAAATAACATATAACTGAACAAAGCAATAAAGCAATGAAATAATCTAAACATGATATAGATACTGAAAATACTGAATACTGAGCTAACTGATGCAATGACCAAATTTATAACATGTTGAGACTGAATACTGACTGTACTGAAATATGGTCAATGCAATAGAGTCTGACTGAACTGTGGGATCTACTAATAACCGACATAAAACCACATGAACTAAATGTGGAGTCCGATGTATACGCCCCATCGAGAGGACCCAATATACCCGGCTAAAGGTATAGAGGCATGAATGGCGTGATCACTAAACTGATGTTGCCCACATAAGGGACTTACACCTACGTGGCTCGTAGTTCTGGGACTATATGGGTACGTTGAAACCCTAGTCCAACTCGGTATTATACTATTCCCAATAGATTAAGTGGTTAACACATTATGACTGAGTTTTTGTAAATACTGGATAGCTCGAAACTGAACATGCAAACTGAGAATGCAACAATTAATCTGATAATGATGCATTCATAAACTGAGGCATGTATAACTGAATATATTATGACTGAAATACTGAATAACTCAAAATACTGACATGTAGATACTCATACTTAAAAAACCCTTTTTTTTAAAAACAATTCAACATCATATTATACTATGATCATTGATGACTTGGGAAGTCATACTGCATAAACATTGATGGTATATCTAGATACCATACTATTCATACATTGATGACCTACTCAATTGTCATAATAATCATGTTTTAGAAGCTCTTTCTCAAAACTCATCTTAACTTTCTCAAAAACTCAGTTTAAAACTCAAGTGTTGTCTTAAAGAAAAGCTTCTCATGATTTATAACTCAAAATAGGGTTTATGCTGAAATATACTGAGAATGTGGCATAAAACTGGAGCATGTATATCTGAATAACTGAAATATCTGACCTAGCATGTGTAATTCAAGAACTAATGAAATACATAGCTAGGGTTCTGAAATTTATGTAAGAAACTGAGCAATAACATGATAATCTGATTTGGAACATTTAAATAACTAATTCATGATGATCTGTTGAAATTCTAGAAACCCTAGGTCTGTTCATAATCATGGAATCAAGAATCTGACTGAATTCTAGGGACCTAATGGGCGAAAGGAACCCACTAGTGAAATCCCACATACCTGGTGACGAATTTCACGGAGAAATCCTTTGATTTCGGGGCTGGAACTGATGGAACCTTGATGCGTTCTTGAACTAGGGTTCTTGACCTTTTTCCCCTCTCTTGATTCTAATTTTCTAAGATTTTGATTAATGAATTGACTTGGATAAGTTCTAGTTATGTTTCTAGGCTTAAACTGATTAAAACCTCATGATTTAGGGTTTAAACGACGTATCTAAGGGGTTAAACGAAATAGGAAAAGACCAAAAGACCCCTGAATTAACTGCTGTTGGAGTGACTGACGGAATGGACCTACGGTCCGTCGATTGGGTCCGTAGGTCGAGTCTGCCCGACAGGGCTTCACTAAAACGGGCATAACTTTTTACTCGGAGGTCGGAATTTAGTAAATTTAGTGGCGTTGGAAAGATAATTAAATTATCTATCTAACCATAGGTTATGGTACACATAATTTATTTTGTGCTAAGAGTTATGACCATCTGAAGGTGACCCATCAATATTTTTCAGCTAACTGGCTGCTGACCCTCATCTACGGTCAGACCTACGGACCGTGGATTGAATGACAGCCCATGCTGGTCGACCGTAGTTTGTGTCAGAGGCTGGGTAAGGGAAGTCTCGATCCACGGACCGTGGTCTGATCTACGGACCGTGAGTCTGTCCGTGAGTCGGGACTTAGCCAAATTTTCTGACTGAGTTCTGGGGAAGTTTTCTGTCACGAACCACGGACCTACAGGATGGACCGTGAGTCCATTTACGGTCCGTGGATGGTGTCCGTGAGTGCCACCTGTAACACCAGAAATCTGAAATCTCTATTTTCGGATACGGGGTGTTACAATATACTTAGCTCATTTGTTTTAAAACAAAACTTCTTTCTTTGGTTTGATATAATTACTCAAAATTTAGCTTAAAAGCTCTCTTGGAAATCGGTGTTTCCCTTTCTTGTTCAAATGTGAAAACATCTTAAACCTTTTGGGAATACTTAGTTCCCTTATAACTTCTGGAGAAATAAACTCAACTTTTTACTCTTTGCTTAACTTGGAACTTAAGTCTTAAAACAAAGTAAAACGTTTGTGAAAGACTTCTTGAAAAGACTCTAAGAATTTTCTAGACTTGGCTCTTAACTTTCCTTGAATTTGAATTTATGGATTCAAGGTTATTATTCATGTTTCTGGATGATTTCTAGGTGTTTAGAAGTCATTTAGAGTAGTTAGAATCAATGGGAAGTGTGAGCACACTTTAAGAGGACTTAAATAGGCTAAATGATGAAAAACGGGTGGAAAACGAAGATCCCGGCGCATCCCTGGCGCGTTTGGTCCAGCCCCAACTTTCTGGGGGTCATTTTGGGCGCACTGCAGGCGCGCCGCCCCAGTCCCTCTGGCGCAGATGGGGTGCGCCGCGCCAGCTCCTCCCCAGGTGAACCTGACGAATGTTTCAACTCGTTTTCTCACCTTAATTCGATTAATTCCGATTCTTTTTCTCAAATTCACTTTAGAATCAGATGCCACGGCATATACACAAAATCTAACTCAAACAACTCAAGGAACCAACACTTTTAATATCAAGAAACTCCTTAATCTCAACTCATATTCAAGAACGACAACAATTCGAGAACAACTATCAAGAACATTCAAGTTCCAATCTTTTTAGAACGAATTCACGCTGAATCAAACATGCTTGGCATGTGGGTGAACAAATCCAACATTATGAAAGTCTCACATACCTTGTAGGATCAAAACCTTGATGAAATCCACAATCAATTCCTTACGAAAACGACGAGTCTTGCTTTTCCTCTTCCCTTTTCTCTTGCGTTCTTTCTCCAAAAACCCTAACTCTATTTTTCAAAAGCGTAAACTGAATCCTATTAGTTTAGACCTTAGAATAATTACCAAAAACGAATTAATTAAGTTGGATATGGAAAAGACCAAACTACCCTTCCAAAATCTGGATTGGACTTTCCTTATTTGAACATCCCAACTTCCAACGGGCATATCTCACTCATACGAACTCGGAATCGCAAAAAGTCGGCGGCGTTGGAAAGATTATTCCAAGATATTTCCTACGATATCTGGAAATACACCTAATTCATCCTGAGCTAGGAGTTTTGATCGTTTGAAGTTGACCAAAAACTCAACTTTAACACAAATAACAAATTTCCAGATTTTTATACCCTTTCCAAAAATGACTTTCCAATTCTAACTCTTTCTAGTTCTTTCAATTAGCGAGGTGTTACACAAAAGCAAAAACTGAGTACATAATTGTTGCATCTATTGTGAATCAAGTTATCTGGCTAAGGAAATGTTGAAGGACTTGGGTCATAAACAAAGCTACCAAGATCATGTGTGACAACAGTTCAACAATTTCAATCTAAAATAATCCAGTGTTTCATGGTCGAACTAAGCATATCAAGATCAAATTTCATTTTATTAGAGAAGTCCAACAATCTAATGAAGTGTTGCTTGTTTTCATTGTTCATCCGAGAACTAGTTAGCTGACATTTTCACTAAGTCATTGCCAAAGGAAGATTTTGAAGATCTGAGGCAAAAAAATTGGTGTTTGTCAAAAAAATGCCAGGAGGAGTATTAGACAGTTGACATTTTTTTCCAACTTATTATTTTTACCGTTTTTTACTTATTTCAGTTTACTACTTTCTCATTTCTAGCAAAAGACTTGGTCAAAGTTAGTTGCTTAAATTTCTGAAGTTAGTGACCCTTTATGGCTGATTAGTGAGACATTTTCTTTTTCAGTTTCAATCCACTTTGTAAGTGACTGCTAGTTATTTTTTTCTTGTATAAATTCAAATGTTCTTCATGTTAAAGATATGCTGAAATTTTAATGAGTTCTTTATGCTTTAATATCTTCAATTCAATATTAAAAGAGTTTACGTACTAACATACACATGGTTTAATTTTATTAAAAGTGGGATGAAACGTTTGTAATGGAGGACGTGTGTAAATGACCTCTACTTTGACTAGTAACATATAGATATACATTATTTTCCAACAATAAATTCCATCATTTTCATGACCTCGTGATGTTGTAAGTGACACTAGGTTATAAAGGCATGAAAGCTCCATGAAATCCATAAGGCACTCTACTTGGTAATGTGATTGTGGCAATAGGGTGTGTTGCAAAGTTTTTTGCATCAACTATATATACCTGCAAGAAATAATAATTGTTCACATTAGAATTGACTTTCACTTTGTAAAGTAGTACTTACATCAGTTTTTGGAAAAATTATATTCAACTATAACTATGACAACTCACGTGAGATACATTTGTATTTTCATTGTGTATGAATGTCACAAGCCAACCATCATCCTCATCAACACCTTGAGGTTTTGGAACAAAGGTTGTTCCACTACAAAAATTACCCTCTGGCAACATATGATACTCAACTTTAATCAATTCCATATCTTCTTCAAATTGAAGTTTGACAAGTCCTCCATATTTAACTAATCCATCTAATCATAAATTCAAAATAGTATCAAATTACAGTCATTAGCAACGTACCAAATTTTTTTAATGAAAACGAAAATTCATAATGGTGTAAAGATCAAATGATAGTAACCTGAAATGGAGCTAGCTTCTCTATCTACCACTTGTAGATAACAAAATTTGTTTCTTAGACCAATGAACTTTTCATTGATCATAGGGAACTCCATAAAAAACTTAGTTGGGACATTTTTCTCCTTTACTTCGCATGTTCTCATGTTTAGTCTCCATTCACAAACACGGAAAAAGAATGATTCTTCTAAAGATTCATTATTGATTTTTGTGGAACTTGTCTCTTCAGACCCTTTGAAAAATCTCTTGGATTTTTTATCTTTGGAACCAGGTCTTGGTAATACTGATTCACGAGCTCTGCATCCCCATACAACCACCTTTTGCCAAACAAATCGGAATCACATACATTTTATATTGGTCAATCACTCAACTTATACAATATGTAGAAGTAAATTTAGTTATAAACAGAACTGAAACTACCTCATCGTTGTCTTCAAAACAATTTATTAGGTGAAATACACAACTAGGTTGAACATCAAACCATCTAACGGAATTAGCATCACCATATCGTGGCATTACTCCAATCCGCGCATATCCATCTTTATCATACTTTATCAATCTACAAACCAAAAGACAGAGCAAATATATAATCAATACGATTTCATTTGATTGCAACATCATTAATGGAAAAGATAAATTAAAGTACTCACGAGTCTCCCCTAATGAGTCGATTTATGTCAATAGTTAGAGGAAAATCCATGATCACGTTGTACCTATATAGGGATAGTCAGATATTACAGAATTAGCCAAACATGAGCTTAAAAATATTGATCATAATCGATTGAAACATTCCTAAAGTCGATTACCTTTCTGTAACTCCCATATCGTGGCATAGGCTGCACCTATTGAACTTGAGATCCACCTTGTGAACCATTTTCTTGCCATCAGCTGGAAGTAGGAATTAGCCGATTAACAAATTATTAGCAAGCTAAATATATATATATATATATATATATATATATATAAATATATATTATGCACCAATTTAAATTCTCTTTTTTAATGCTCATCTTGAATTAAGATCATTATGAGAAGAAGGAGATACTAGAAAATGACAATACCTGAAATGACTCCTAGCTCAAAGTATGGCTTTCTTGGATATATTCCCATTATAACAAGTTCACTAGTTCCAGGGGCTTTCTGTGGATAAAATACGATGATGAACGATACTGTTCTACACACTATTAGACTTTTTTAGAACATAATTACCTTTGGATGACTTGTGAATGGTCGATCCCAAGCTCCATTGACATTCCAATTACCTAATGTTGCAAGGGAATATATGTCTATCTCTTGAGGCAAATGATTTTCAGCAATAGAGTAGTATTTCTTTGAGTGCTCAAAAATATTTGTATTGCTTAGATGTTTGTTTTCCACGCCAAATCTCAACTGCAAAGAAACAACCACGTTACTAAGATTCTTACCTCCTATATATCAACTTAATTTCTAGTTATTCGAATGTAAGTAAGTTTCATACCACATTCAAAACGTAAGCCATTAAAATGGCTGGAGAATCCCCTTCAATAGCGGGAAGAAAACCAGGTTTCTTTCTATGTATTTCCATCTTGAAAGTGTCCGTTTGGACGTGTTTGTTATTGTAGAAGATATTCCAAGTCCCTATTCCTTTTTGTCTAGTGAAGTGCAAAGCATGAAGCATTCCTTCGCCTTCAATCCATACATGACTTGATTTCCCAAATATGGACTTGGTCGATTTGAGACCTCCAAACAGAGGATTTGAGCCTGTAAATTAATGGAGTTTATTAAGTTTACAAATTAGACGACAATTAACTTTGATGATTTGTACATTTGTACTTTTGCTTATCCATAAAATCAGCTCCCACACTTGAAAAGTATTTTTCAGTACTTGATGCTTAAAAGTTACTACTTAAATTCAGCTAATACAAACAGGCTCTTGTTCCTTCGAGTTGGCTTCAAATGAACCAAATATAATGTAATAATTTCAAGACTAACAATAACACCCTATAATTTAAGTATTAAACTAACAAAATGTGGACATTTTCGGAGTAGGTATTAACTCTTAATGAAACCACTAAACCAAGTATAATATGTTTTCTTGCCAAGCTGTCATTTTAAATATGACAGCAAATAAGACAGAAAGTGACTGACTAGCTGATTCCAGGTTGTAGATTTTTAGATAACATGAAAAAACAAGCATATAGAAATTAAACCCTTTAATTAATTAAACATGTAACGCTTTTTTTTCCAGTATTGTATTAATTGAAGAGAAGACAATTTGCTGACCATTTCTTATGTAAACACCCTCCGGAAAATCATCTGGAATTTTCCCTTCCACTGTAGTTACTACAACAGCTTCTCCAATTTCTTCCACTGGTGCAAAATTACTCTGTCAAAATTAATTAGTAGTAGCTAATTTACATTGATTATTGAATCTTGTAGTAATTAATTAATGGAAATCATGTACCTGAGATGGAAGTAATGGTTGATCGACAAATTCAAATACAAAGTCCACAAATGCATCTAATAATTTGGAAGAAGTTTCTTTCACAGTTTTTGGAATGTCAGCTACAATTGAAAAATGCACCAAATCCCTCGAAAATGGCTAATCATCAACTCAAAACGAACCAAAAAACAGGAATTAGCAACAGACTAATTACGTCATCAATCCTAATTAGTGATGGATTATAACATCATCAATAACATACATACTGATCAGCGTAGTCCCACAAGTGGGGGTCTGTGGGAGGGTATAGTGTGTACAGCCTCGACTCAATAAAATAAAAGAAATGAAGAAACTAAGACAACATGCTACACCAAGGCATGACAAAGCATACTAAAAAGGAATAGTAGCTACAATAAACGAATTACAAGAGACAATAGATAATAACAGAGATCGAAGAAACAAGAACTTACGACTACTAGCAAATTAAGAATTATTAGCAGTAAAGTTTACCTTCAAAGCAGAGGAAATTGAGGCTTTCAAGTCCTCAACTTTGGATGGAATTGAAGGCCTTTGAAAAGAGCAATTTACTTTACATGTGTAACTACATAAGGCCATTGTCGACCTGCCTCTCTATCACAGTTTTTTAGAGATGATGTTATATTAAAAAAAATAACTTGCTAGCTGTTCAATTTTTGACATTAACTAAAGAGAGGTATATATAGTTTTGGTGTCAACAATGAGCATCTAGTTTCTAGGAAATAAGCATCTTTCAATTGGAGTTATGTATGACAGTATGACAAGACTTAGGAAAATGACATCTCTCATAATAAAAATTGATCAAATGACTGTCAACTACTTTATCCTATTTAGTTTATGTGAGAACGTGACCCATAATAAGCTAGAGAACTCATTACAATAATCAAAAACTAATTTTGATATCGATTGCTAATACAATGAATATATAGGAGGTGTTTCTCCAAAATTAAACAAGTCTTTTCTATAAGAAGAACGTAAGTAATAAAATTAAATAACACAAAACTAGGAAGACAAAGTGAGCTATATAGCTATTACTCAATTATTGGTATGTCTTATCAACACATTATTATCCAATATAGAAAGGAAGAGCATATGACACTCAAAAATACCAATACACATGATTTAATTTAGAGGGATAATACATTTGTAATAGGGGACGCGTGTAAATGGCGCGCACTAGGCTATAAAGGCATGAAAGCTCCATGAAATCCATAAGGCACTCTACTTGGTAATGTGATTGTGGCAATAGGGTGTGTTGCAAAGTTTTTTGCATCAACTATATATACCTACAAGAAACAATAATTGTTCACATTAGTATTGACTTTCACTTGTAAAGCACCTCTCTTAACAAAATTTAACTTTAGGAGAGATTATATTCAACTATATATAACTATTACAACTCACTTGAGATACATTTGTATTTTCATTGTGTGTGAATGTCACCAGCCAACCATCATCCTCATCAACACCTTGAGGCTTTGGGACAAAGGTTGTTCCACTACAAAAATTACCCTCTGGCAACATATGATACTCAACTTTAATCAATTCCACATCTTCTTCAAATTGAAGTTTGGCAAGCCCTCTATATTTAACTAATCCATCTGATCATAAATTCAAAATAGTATCAAATTATAGTCATAAGCAACCAAAAAAGTAAAAATAAATTCATAATGGTATAAAGATCAAATTATAGTAACCTGAAATGGAGCTAACTTCATTGTTTACCACTTGTAGATAACAAAAATTGTTTTTTAGACCAATGAACTTTTCATTGATCATAGGGAATTCCATAAAGAAGTTGGTTATGACATTTTTCTCCTTTACTTCCCCTGTTCTCATGTTTAGTCTCCATTCACAAACACGATAAAAGAACGATTCTTCTAAGGATTCATTATTTATTTTTGTGGAACTTGTCTCTTCAGACCCTTTGGAAAATCTCTCGAATTCTTTGACTTTGGAACCAGGTCTAGGTAATACAGATTCACGAGCTTTGCATCCCCGTACAACCACCTTTTGCCAAACAAATTAGAATCACATACATATTTTGGTTAATTACTCAATTTATATAAAGTAGTTACGAAGTAAATTTAATTACAAATAGAACTAAAACTACCTCATCATCCTCTTCGAAACAATTTATTAAGTGAAATACACAACTTGGTTGAACACCAAACCATCTAACGGAATTAGCATCACCATAGCGTGGCATTACTCCAATCCGCGCATATCCATCTTTATCATATTTGATCAATCTATTAACCAAATGATAGAGCAAAAATATAATCAAAACAATTTCATTAGATTGCAACATCATTAATGGAAAAGATAAATTAAACTACTTACGAGTCTCCCCTAATGAGGCGATTTATGTCAATAGTTAGTGGAAAATCTATGATCACATTGTACCTATGGATAGTAAGATAATACAGAATTAGTGAAATATTAGCTTAGTAATATCATAAGTTGAAACACTCTTAAATGTTGTGATCAAAATTACCTTTGTGTAACTCCTATGTCATGGCATAAGGTGCACCTATTGAACTTAAGATCCACTTTGTGTACCATTTTCATGCCATCAGCTGAAAGTAGGAACTAACAAATTATTCGCGAGCTAAATAAATTTATGTAGAAGTTTAATTGAATCCCTTTTATAATGTTCATCGATCTTGTATTAACATCTTCATTTTTCACCAGTAAAAGGAATAACATACCTGAAATGACTCCTAGTTCAAAGTAAGGTTTTCTTGGATATATCCCCATTGTAACAAGTTCGCCACTTCCAGGGGCTTTCTATAGATAAAACAACATGTTTGCATTTAAGATGTGTGCATACACACTATAAGAACTTTTTAGAACTTAATTTACCTTTGGATGACTTGTGAATGGTCTACTCCAAGCTCCGTTGACATTCCAATTACCCAGTGTTTCAAGGGAATATATGTCTATCTCTTGAGGCAAATGATTTTCAGCAATAGAGTAGTATTTCTTTGAGTGCTCAAAGATGCTTGTATTGCTTAGATATTTGTTTTCCACGCCAAATCTCAACTACAACACAACACCAACAAGTGAAGGCTTATCGAATGCAAGTTTTAAAAGAAAGATCAATAACTATTCGAATAGCAAGTTAGTTTGACTAAGTTCATATACCACAATCAAATTAGCCTAAGCTAGTAAACAACGATAGAATACTACTACTCCCTTCGTTTCAATTTATTTGTCTAGTTTTGACTTGACATGAAATTTAAAAAAGTAAATAAGACTTTTAAATCTTGTGTTCTTAAACAAAGATATACAGAATGTACCAGAATGTCCTTTAATCTCGCAGTAGGCTTAAACATACCACGTAGAAAGTTAAGATTATGGAGTTGCCAAAAAGAGAAAAAGACATTCTTTTTGAAACAGACTAAAAATGAACTAAGACAAACAAATTGAAACGAGGGAGTATTTTGGATGATGTAAGTAAGTTTCATACCAAATTCAAGGCATAAGCCATTAAAATGGCAGGAGAATCCCCTTCAACAGCAGGAAGAAATCCAGGTTTCTTTCTATGTATTTCCATCTTGAAAGTTTCCGTTTGGGTGTGCTTGTTATTGTAGAATGTATTCCAAGTTCCTCTTCCTTTTTCTCTTGTGAAGTACAAAGCATGAAGCATTCCTTCCCCTTCAATCCATATGTGTCTTGATTTCCCAAATATGGATTTGGTCGATTTGAGACCTCCAAACAGAGGATTTGAACCTGCAAATACTCGTATCAATCATTGTTTCTTAAGGGATGTGTAAAGTCTAAAAAGTAAACAAGTAAAAGTGAACGAATGGACAATTCCTGACCATTTCTTATGTAAACACCCTCCGGAAAATCATCTGGGATTTCCCCTTCCACTGTAATTACTCGAACGGATTCTCCAATCTCTTCCACCGGTGCAAAATTACTCTGTCAAAATTTATTACATAAGTTAACATTTGTAGCAGCTAATTGAACCTGGTAGTAATTAATAAATGGAATGTACCTGAGATGGAAGTAATGGCTGATCAACAAATTCAAATACAAGGTCCACAAAGGCATCTAATAGTTTGATAGAAGTTTCTTTCACAACTTTTGGAATGTCAGCTACAACTGGAAAATGCACCAAATCCCTCGAAAATGGCTATTCATCAATTCAAAACAAAGCAAACTATAAGCTAATTTGCCTTTGGGGTATTCTAAATAAAACATAAAACACTGCCAAAAAAATTGGAATTAACCATTAACAAATTTGTTGGGTTTTAAAAGGTGTGAATGGAAAATGAAGAGTTGTAACTTTAATGAGGAGGTGTGACTTCTATGAAAAATTGTGATTTTTATGAAAGGTTGTGACCTTTTCGAAAGATTCTGACTTTTCCAAAGGGTTGTGACATTTCCGGTAAGGCACAACAAGAACATTTTCATACACTACCCTTTGTTGTTTATATATAGTGGATTTCCTCTCATTTTAAGATAACCAATTTTCTGGACTTCTTCTTCTACTACTACTACTACTAAATCTAGTATTCTAAGGGGTCGTTAGGTGTGATGGATAAAAGGAATTAATCCCAGGATAACTTTTAAGTGGTCTTTAATTTGTTGTTTGGTTGCAAAGGATGGGATAACTTTTCCCAGGATTAATTGTTAATCCTGGGATAAGTTATCCCTCCCTGGGGTGGAATAGTAATCCCAGGATAACTTATCCTGGGATAAAGTAGGTAAAATAACAAAAATACCCCCTTAAACTCTCTTTTCTACACCACTTTACATTCACGTATATTAACATAATTTTTAACAACATTTATAATGACATTCACAATCTTAATTATTCATTGTTCTTAAAATAATATATTTTCTAATAAAAAATACATTTTATAAATACAATTTTGCTTTGAATTTATTTGCCTAATTCTTATGTGTATTTATATTTTGTATTCTCTTAAAATGTTCACTTCACTACTAAATTGCATATTTTTAATTAAATAGTTTACTACTCACTTAAAAATTATATTTTTTATATCAATTAAAATGTAAATAACTTTAATGATAAATTTTCTTTTACCTTAATAAACTTAAACGGAAGTTTTATTTCTAAGCCAAATAAAATGAATGTTTTATTTTTAAACTAAATAAGATGAAAGTTTTATTTTAAAGCTAAATAAGATGGAAATTTTATTTTTAAGCTAAATAAGATGGAAGTTTTATTTTCAAGTTAGATAAGATGAAAGTTTAATTTTAAAAACACACGGCACACTCATGGAAATGCACACACAAAATATTTAAGCTAAATAAGATGAAAGTTTTATTTTTTAAGAATGAATAACCAACTAAAGCTTGCAAAGAAAATGTAAAAAAAATAAAAAATAAAAAATAAGGTGGAGGGTATTATTGTAAACAAACAACTTATTCTTAGAAATTATGCAATGCATATAAGTTTGCATATGACAAACCAAACAAGCAGTAAAAGTTAATCCTATCATAATTAATTGGGCATAACTTATCCAGTATAACTTATCACAACATAACTAATCCCAGCATAACTTGTATTCAAACCAAACGACCCCTTAGTTCCTAATTTACCCTTATCATTAATTATAGTCATTTCCCTATTACTCCCTCCGTCCCATATTAGATGGGCATCTTACTAAAAATGTTTGTCTCATATTACTTGAGCACTTACTAAATTAGGATAGGATTAATTAATTTTTTCCCATTTTACCCCTACAATTAATATGACCTTTGGAAGTTTAAACAAATTTTAAACACCCAATATTAATGTGCATTGATATAAACAAAGGGTAAAATGGTAAAGTATTTCAATGTATTAATGATTTCTTAATCACTGTGTAAAGTTGGAAGGGCCCATCTAATATGGGACGGAGGGAGTACATTTTTCAAGACATTGTATTTATTATATTCAAATGGTGATATAGTAAAATTAGTCTTCGATTTATAGTTTCTTAAAGGGTGTGCCAAGTCAATAGTGGACACTATTGTTTGACAGAGGGAGTACCAAATTTGAAAATATATATATATACATAAAATATCTAGTTTTGCGGAGAAACACTTGTCCCATATTATTGCTATAAACTCGCCACTAGAGTCTAGAAAGGGTAGTGCGTACATTAATCTTATTCTTATCTTGGCAAGTAGAGAAATTATTTACGATAGACACTAGGATCAAGAAAATAATAGGAATGAAGAAATCAAGACAATACTACACACAAGGCATGACAAAATTATATACTGATAAAGAAATCGTAATTACAATAAAATAATATGATAAACAAATTACAAGGGACAATAAATAGTAACAGAAACCAAAGGAACAAAACCTATAATTAGAGTAATACTACGACTACTAACAGCAAAGTTGATGGATAGGAGGGGAAGGAGGGTTACCTTCAAAGCAGATGAAATTGAGGCTTTCAAGTCCTCAACTTTGGTTGGTATTGAAGGCCTTTGAATAGAGCAATTTACTTTAAATGTATAACTACATAAGGCCATCGTTGATCTGTATCTCTATCACAGTTTTTAAGTTATGATGTTAAGAAAATAACTTGCTAGCTAGTTGTTCATTTTTGACATTAACTAATTAATGAGAGGTATTTATAGTGTTGGCATAAACAACAAGCATCTAATTTCTAAGGTATAAGCATCTTTCAATTGAACTAATAATTAGCTTAGGAAAATGACATTTCTCACAATAAAAATTGATCAAGTGAAAGTACTTTATGCAGTATTATTAGTTTACGTGATTCTATTTTCTTTTTGTTCTATCCCAATTTTTTTCTAGAAAACAATTTAATTTTACTCTTAATTCTAATTGTTTTTTTGTTATCCTATCGATAATTCTCGAAATTAGATCTACTTAATCTAGAACAGAACATATAACCTTTGAATATCTGAAATTATCTAAGTAAAAACATTTTGTTTTATTCAATGAGCATCTTGTACTAATTTCATAAAAATTAGAGGTGATATAAACTTTATGTTAGGGTCATCTTATCCAACTTTCAGACATTAAGATATTTATAGTCACGTAAATATTATGACATATTTATGAGCACAAGTTTTAAAAATGTGAAATTTTACAAGTCTTCATTTCTTTTTAAATTTTATCTCCGATTAATAAAATTAATACGCGAATATATTTATTAGGATTAGATATGGAATATTCCTGTTATTAACAACTTATGGCTCTGTAAGTTGTGACAATTATTTTATGGAAACAATAATTTCGAACTTTTGTATGATACTGGACTGTAGGGTTCAGTTGTAAGCTAAAACCCAAAAAAATAATTGTCCTCTCTATGTTTACGAATGGTAAAGGACAAGAAGATGCAAAAAAAAAAAAAAGATCACCGATCTATAACAAATAATTAATAAAATATTTGAAGAAGAAACATAAGACTTAGCTTACTCCTTCTTTCCTAATTTATGTGTTACTTTTTTTTTTCTTTTTAAAATTCAAACTTTGTAATAAACATACTAGAAATTAATTTGAATGCAACTTACTTAAACATAGAACATATATATATATATAAGATTAATTTTTTAAGCCAAAAAAAGAACAATGGAATCAAACAGTATATACTGAATTTAGATTCCCATATATAATTTGAATTGTTCATATTAAAATTCCTAATCTTACTTTAAATAGCTAAACGTTTTCTCACTTAATAACGATATGTGTGAATCGGTGATTATAAATTTACTTACATGATATATTTAACAAGTTAAAAATTACAATTTGTAGTTTTAGCATCTACCTAGAGGAAGATTCTTCATCACTCTGGACAAAATCTACGTGGACTTTCAATCTCTAGTGCTTAATTATATTCTCAATTTTTTCATGCAAAAAATGGTTGTTACAACTAATTTCATTAAATGTGGAATTCATATACTATACTTTTAAGACGCTAATGGTTAGCCAACCAAAATTAGTGAATCCTGTTAAAATAATTATTAGCAAGAAAAGTAACAAACACTACGACAAATAAAGGAATTAGTAATTTCAGTAACGATTTTGATTTTTTTTTTATTAAATTATTGATTTGAGATTTTTTAACAGGTTAATCAATAACTTGATAGTTAATTAAATAATTATATTTATACCATTTAGTATATAAATTCCTTGACTTAGAGTTTAGTTTCATTTTTTTCAGGTTGTCTCAAACTCTCGATTATCTACAATGTGATAGTGTTTTCTTTTAAGCAAGATGTTGTTGGACTGAGAACAGAGGAAAGGCACAAAAATTAGAGAAACAAGAAAAATGCAGAGAATATTAAAGAGAAGTTGTGTTACTTCTTTATTTATTGAACTGAAGTTATTCAAATAACTAAAACAACATGCCCAAATATATAGGCTAAGAGATAAACAACTAATCCTAAAATATATAGGTCCTATAACCCACTAAAACACTATTTCAGCAACACTAGAAAACTACCTAACAGAATGCAGAAGACTAGTTCAGCCAAACTATCCATGTTCGTGTTCCTACTTTGTTTTGAATCACTATTCAACATATATGACATGTCAACTCACGTGCATGGTTCATTTGGTTTGTCACATTGTTTCTAAGTTATTTTCAATGATTTTCTTCGTGTCAAATCATAATAGTTAACCGATAACCAAATCGATTAACGATTAATAACCGATAAGTCAATATCTTAAGAGTTTTATAATGGTTTAGCATATCTACAAATCAATATTCGATAATCAATAAGTCGAATCAATAAATTTTAAAACCAAAAACAATGATTTTATGGAAACAATAATTTCGAACCTTGTATGGGTCTGGAGTGTAGGGTTCAGTTGCAAGCTAAGACCCAAAATTTGTTTGTCCTCTCCATGTTTACGAATGGTAAACGACAAGAAGATGAAGACAAAGAACAACTCTATAACAAATAAATAAAATATTTGAAGAAGAAACGACTTAGCATACTCCTCCGTGTTCATTTTTTTGCTTTTCGAAATTCAAACTTGGTAATTTTACTATGTGTTTAAACATAGAATTTTTAGATTAATTCACACACTATCACATAAATTAGAACGATGAGAGTATTGAATGCAAGGTAATTAAATAAACATAGAACATATAAGATTGAACATATATTAGATTCCCATACATAATTTGAATTTCTGCCATGTGACCAAGAGGTCACGGTTCAAGCTTTGGAAACAGTCCCTAGTAAAAATACAAGATAAGAATGCATACAATAGGCCGATTGATCCTTCCTTGGACTCTATGCATAGCAAGAGCTTTAGTGCACTAGACTGCCACTTTATACACAATTTGAATTGCTTATATTAAAATTCCTAATCATATACTTCATACTTTTAAGACGTTAATGGCATGAAAGCTCCATGAAATCCGTATGGCACCCTACTCGATAAAGTTATAATAGCAATTGGCTCTTCCGTAAATTTCTTTGCATCAATTATATAAACCTGCAAGAAATTAAATTAGAAGTAATCCGAGGATTTAAACTTAATGAGTTCAACTATGATAATGTGCTAAATTAATTGTATTTTACTTACTTGAGAAATATTCTCATTTTCGTTATGTGTAAATGTAATGATCCAACCATCGTCTTCATCGATGCCTCCAGGTTTTGGAACAAATGAAGCTCCTGAACAAAATGTATTCTTTGGGAACAAGTGATATTCTGATTTAATCAATTCATCTTCTTCATCCTGTATATTTCATTTCACAAATATTAATTAATTAGTACTATATGAAGTATTAATCCCCTTTTTTCTTGGGTATATACTATAGTATACATACCATATTATTAAAGGTTTTCTTTTCTTCATAATGAACCTTGATTATCCCACCAAATTTAGAGAATCCTGTTAAAATAATTTAGTATATAAATAATGAGTAAATTGATCACAAGATCTATTAAAATTAATTTGTAAATATAGAGTACGTTTACCTGAGCCAGAAACCTCTGTGGACTCAACAACTTGTAGATAAGCAAATTTATTTCTAAATCCTGAGATCTTTTCATTGATGAAAGGGAATTCCATTACAAACTCATCTCCAAATATATTCTTCTTCTCTTTAACTTGTCCAGTTTTCATGTTTAATCTCCATTCGCAAACACGAGAAAAAGTTGATTCTTTTGTGAACTCATGAGAGTCACCATTTGTGGAACTTGTTTCCCTTTTCAACCATTTGGAGAACTTGTCAAAGTGGTTGATGCTAGAACTAGGTCCTGGTATAACTGATTGACGAGCTTCACACGCTCTCACCACCACCTTTGCAAATTAAACAACATTTACTAATCATTAGTTATAATCAATATTTCAATTTTATTTAATAAGACGGTTACACACTTGACATCAGAGCAAAGACTATATGTATATACGTGCGTACGTACCTCATCATTAAGTTCGAAGCAATTAATGATGTGAAATACACTACAAGGGTTGACCTCAAACCATTTGATGGAATTGGCATCACCATAGCGTGGCATTATCCCAATTCTTGCATATCCATCTTTTTCAAACTTCATTAACCTACATAATCACAATATATTTATCACATATAATCAATAAAAACATATACTTGGTTGGATGAAAAAGGGAAAATTAATATATATACTTACTGGCCTCCAAGAACAAGTTGACTTATGTCAACTATTAGCGGGAAATTCATGATCACATTGTATCTACAAGTTTATGTAGGACCAATTAGTAAAAATTTACATATACTATCATACATGTAGTTTACAATAGGAAATAATATACTATACCTTTGTGTAACTCCTATTTCATGGCAAACGGTACATCTATCGAACATGAGATCCGCTTTGTGAACCATTTTTTTCCCATCGGCTGAAAGATTGGTAATAAATTGAGTAACATCGTGAAAAATTAAAAATAATAAGTAAATTGAGTAACGTCCGATTAAAGATGAAGAAATAAAACATACTATAGAGGGAAGGAAATAATGTGGTACCTGAAATCACACCAAGTTCCATATAAGGCTTTTTTCCATCAATACCAATTATAACTAGTTCTCCCGTCCCGGGTGCTTTCTGCGTGTATGTTGTATAAGAATTAAATAAGAGAAGTATTGAAAATACCTTTAAACTTCACCCAAATTATTAGTTTCATCTCTAAATTATTGATAGCTTTTAAAACACACTTTTACTTGACTAACTGAACTTAAATAAACCCCCGATCATGCCATGAGTAAAATGCACCCCTAAATTCTCGCTGAATTTAGGGGTGTTTTCAACACTTTTCTTGATTTTTTATTAAGAGTCACATGCTTGAGATCACTTGTTATATCATGTGGCAGATCGGTGATGTATTGAGGATATATCCAAGTTTAGTTAGTCAAGTAGATGGGTATTTTTAAAGCTGTCAATAGTGTTAAAGTCGTACAACATCAACATATTTTCTTTAGTTTGACTAAGTCTTGCAGTAGCTATTTTCTAGCTGTTAGTTGTCACTTTGTTAGTTAATTAGTTCTTGATATTTTCACTGTTTTCTCTTCTCTTTCTTCTTCTCTGTTATTTGTCTTTTGATTATTGAGCTTCCTGTTGCGTTTTGTTCATCAAATGGTAGAGATAAAACTAATAATTTACGTCAAGTTCAGAAGTATTTTCAATATTTTTCTCCTCAAATAAAGATAAAAGATCTCGTACTACTATGTACTACTATAGTACTCTATACTATTTTTTAAGATAAAATTTTGTAAGTTAATTACTACTACAATTATTTGTACCTTTGGGTGGCTTGTGAAGGGTCTATTCCAAGATCCACTTAAAATGTTCCAATTTCCCTTAGTTTGTAGGCAATGTATGTCGATCTCTTGAGGCATATGGTTCTCAGCAATTGAGTAGTATTTGTTTCCATGTTCAAACACATTACTGTTGCTCAGGCTTTTGTCTGTCACACCAAACCTCAACTGCAAATTATTATTATAGATGGATCCACGATTTGAAATTTATGAATGTTAATTAATCTGACTTCTCCAATTGACTATATATACGTAGGTATTAATATATACATACCAAATTTAGAAGGTAGGAGAGGAGTATAGCGTTAGAATCGCCTTGAATAGCAGGAAGAAAACCTGGTTTCTTTCGATCCTTTTCCATATTATAGCTATCTGTCTGGACATGTTTGTTCTTGTACAACGCCTTCCATTTTCCGCCATTCTCTTTGTTTAAGTAGAGAGCATGAACCATTCCTTCACCCTCAATCCACATATGGCTCGATTCACCAAATATAGATCTCGTCGATTTCAGTCCTCCAAATAGAGGATTTGGCCCTGCAATAATAATATATATACCTATATATTAAGCCCGCCTGCGATACAATAGGACTACGTATTTATCTCATTTCAACGTACGTAGAAAAAATCCAATGTACCGTTTCTTACGTAAACACCCTCTGGAAAATCATCTGGAATTTTCCCTTCAACTATTCCTACTGTTGTACCTTCTATCATCTCTTCCACCGGTGCAAAATTACTCTATCGAATATTAAAATAAATATATTTGATGTTAAAAGAGCATGTACGTATGTAAAAAGAAAAATTTAGAATTTAGGATTTAGAGCATTGAAAATTACCTTAGATGGAAGCAATGGTTGGTCAACGAATTCACATGTAAAGTCAACAAAAGCTTCTAATAAATTGAACGAAATGTCTTTGATAGCTTTTGGAACGTCTAATGAAATATTTGGAAAATGGTCCAACTCCCTCAGTAATATTGGCTGTTCAAGTCAAAATCATGCAACTTTCTCTTTAACAACGTAGATGTTTAATTTGATAACAATAATAATGATCACTAATTAGCTAATTGCACAAATTAATAGAATGCTGCAGTAAAAGATCATGATAGTCACTGCAACAAATAAAGGATTTGTGATAATTATTTAGCATAATAATATAATTATCATTATGTTATATTTAATCATAATCATTAGGGATGTCAATGGGATAGTTCGATCGGTTTTTTTTAAAAAATTATATCATTCCAATTTTTTGGATATTTTATAATATATAACCAAAATTAGATTTTTTAAAACCGTCCCATTCATATCGGTTTCTCTTCGGTATCGGTATGCAGAGGCGTATTTAGGATTTCATAAGGATGGGTGCATTATTACGAAAAGATGCATTTAAGATATAAATTTGATCAGTTTAACCTTTATGTTCTTACCACTAAACCTTTAAACTTTAAAAATTATAGGTCCAACATATATAATACTACTAGTTTTAAATTTTAGTATACACATTTGATTTAATTATATAAAAATTATACCGTGCTAATTTTTTTTAGGAATTTTCAATGTTACACATTTGAAATTTTGAAAGATTAAAGCAAAAAAATAAAAGAAAAATTGATTAAAACGTCAAAAGTGCTACCGATAACCACTTGGAGGGAGTGTTAGTAACAAAAATAAGATAGATATAATTAGATTTAAATTTTTATATTTGCTTAAAGAGGTGCACCCAATATTCATCGTATTATTATATGTTACTTTTAATGTGGGTTCACACCTCTATATTAATTTTTTTTTATAAATATAACACTATAATATATAATCTAGAGAGGAGAGCATGGGTTCATGTGAACCCACAGAATCCCTCTAGATACGCCTCTGTCGGTATGGTTCGTTAATTTTCGGTTATATCACCTCAAAATATACTACTATTAAAATATTTCTTTCGCAAAAATGTTCTTGAAAACGCACTTTAATTCTTCACCAAGAAGACAAGAATGTAAAACTTTGTTGCCATATTGTTTGATCTTAAACATTTAATATGAGTGTTTGCATAAGATTTACTTTATTTTTTGATAGAGTGTCTATACAGTAACGACTAATTAAAGAGCAATTTTTGATAGGGTGGCTATTATAGTAACGACTAATTAAAGAGCAAACATCCATAATCATCTAGTAACCAGAGATCTAGAACCTAGGTTATATTAATTTATATTTGAAAAATATTTTATAAAATATATTTATATATATTAAATTTAACATATTGTTAATATATAAATATATCTATGTACGTAAGGTTATTCAGTTTGGGAATTTTTTGGTTTTTTTCATAAATTAAAAAGGTCATCCCAATTGTTGAGACGGTTATACACTTAAATAAAAATTCACGATTTTATTGAAAAAAAAAACATAAATCGGTTCGATTTGATTAGATTAGGTCAATTTTTCATATTCTTTTGACATTCCTCATAACCATCACTCTATGTTATTCAGAATACATTTATATTAACTCAATTACTATTAAATATTTTTATAATAATAAGTATTGTCACTTAAAAAAAATATTCTATTAAATATCTCTTTTGTTACGTGAGTTACGTTACCTTGAAAGTAGATGAGAGTGGATTCCTGGAGTGCTCAAGTTTGGTTGGACGTGAAGGCTTCTGCAAAGAGCATTTGGTGACCACTTGAAGTAGTGCATAACTATTAGCAGCCATCTCTAGAAATTATTATTCAGTATATACTCTGCTGATTGATATTATATTGCAAAGGGTATATATATATATATATATATAAGTGAGAATAACCACACATATCATAGTCAACATGCTTGTCAACATGCTTACCTGATAGCAATAGGGGTATATTGGTCATTCAACAATATAAATATCAGAAAACTTTCCCACAGCTAAATTCAGCACACCTGAAAATTAGAAGGATAAGGAGCCACTCACATAAAAGGAGCAGAAATAATACTCCTTCGATTTAAAAAAAAAATGATTTACTTTTCTTTTTAGTTTGTTTTTAAAAAAAAATGATTTTTTTCCTTTTTTTTTTATAACATTTTCATTTCAGCATTCCACATGGCATATTTTAGGCCATCAGATTAAGAGTTTGTTTGGCAATATTGCCTCTAAAAACAGCTTATTTTAGAAGCTCTTTTTAAAAATAACTGTTTAGAAAAGTGTTTTTGAAAAAACACAATTTGTGTTTGGCTAATTTATATGAAAAGTGTTTTTCATAAGCAAATTGTGTTTGACAATTTTTTTTAAAAAAAATAAAATTTACATGTTTTAATTTTCAATCAATATTATACCTTTTTGGGGAGGTTGAAATCTTTAATTGTTATTTTTTTTCTTTTTTCTAATCTTGTAAAAATATGGTTGTTACCTTTTTGCTAATTCTACAAAATAATGTGTAAAATAATATATAATATATAAAATAATAATATATAAACGTAAAATTTATTATATAAAAAATAAAATTCTTATGAAATTTAACCATACTTATGAAATATGCTAATTAATTAATAAGAAATATATTGGTAAATATGTATATATGAGAAGGATATTATCGTCTCGAGAAAAATATATTTTTGTTTCTGCTTCTAAATTTTTTGAAAAGCATAAACTTTAGCTTCTTTCCAATGACAGAAAAATTGCTTCCATTTAAAATAATTTTACTGATTTGCCAAACAGTTAATTTTTCAAGAAAAATATTTTTTTTTGAAAATAAGTGTTTTTGGCATCCAGCAATGTCAAACAAACTCTAAAAGATATTTTGACATACTTTAATTTAAGACCACAAGATTAAAAAATTATTTTTATATTTTTAAAAATTTCATGTTAAATTAAACTAGATCATTCTTTTTTAAATGGAGAGAGTAATACACTAAGGGGTCGTTTGGTAGAGTGTATAAGAATAATGCAAAATATGGTGCATTAGTAGTGCTTGTATTAGTAATGCTTGCATTAGTTATGCAAGCATTATTTCTTATACACTGTTTGGTTTGATGTATTAGAAATAACAAATTTTGCATAATTTCTATTTAAAAATATATGTTTACAAAAATACCCTTCACACTTTATTTATTTTTACACTCCCTTGCAACAAAGTTCTTTGCTAAAACATCATTAACTCCTCCTCTTCTTCTTCTTTTCAAAAATAATATTAAATAGTTGTACTATTTGAGTCAAAATATTTTTGTGAAAAGTTGGCAAAGAGTTTTTTTTATCAAATTTATCGCTACAATAGTAATTTTTTTTATTAAATTATGTTAAAATTAGATTATTTAAAAAAAAAAAAAAAGATATTTAAGAGGCCATAAAGTCTATTAAGACACCAACAAATTAAAAGACATTGAAAACAAATAAAAATAAAAATAAAAACATATGACAAGAAAGAAAATGAAAAAAAGAGAAAATGTTTAGGAAATGTTTTAAAAAGGCTATGAGGGTAGTTTTGTAATTATTTGATCTTAATGCAAGTGTTAAATGCTATGTATTACTAATACCTAGAATTACTTGGTATTAGTAATACACAACTTAATACACAATGGAGTGTATAACTAATCATGGCAAGAAAAAGTGTACCAAATAAGATACTACTAATACACACACCTAATGCATGCATTATATTTCCTAATACACTCTACCAAACGACTCTTACAGAGTTATTTAATAGAATTTATTAACAAAAATAATGCTCACATTAATTTTGTGTATTAATAGTACCTGGTACCTTTTTTCATGCCATCAACCCTACTATTGTATCCATTGACATTTTACCAGAGGAGGAGGTATTTAGGCATGTGTATTTTGCCGCCGTGGGCCTTGTGTGTCAATCGCGTATATATGCAAGATTTTGTGTCAATTATGTCGATTAATTATCATAAATCAATTAATTCAATTTGTCTGTTTGAGCTTGGAATTTTGTGACTGATTCAGATTTATCTTTTACAAAAATTAATGTTTTATTTGTTTTAAAAAAAATAATCTAATTTTTTTAAATCTATTTAAGATAATGTTTTTTTTTTTTTTTCGTTTTTGATCACGCTTTAATTTCAATTTTCAACATAACATGTTTAAGGCCATAATATTAAAGAGCATTTTAGTACATTTGACATAATTTTAATTTATGGCCATGATATTATAAAGTCTTCTTTATTTTTTTTAAAATTAGTGTCTAGTCAAACTAGATCATTCTTTTTTAAACAAAGAAAGTATTTATTTTATTTTATTTTATTTTTAAGTGATGTCAATTTTTGTACATATATATGAGTCCGGAGAGCCAAAACCTAAAAGGGCAAACAAATTGAGCAGAATTTTCAAAAGAACAACAAAATTGAGTGTGAATACAAAAATACAATATTTAGATGGAGTTCTGATGATGTTAAATTTTATGTATAAGGCTCATGCTAGAACTAGCCTTGTAAGAGATAAAATTTGTTTTATGAAATAAGAAAATATAAAATAATAATATAACATTAAATAGAGAAAAAATATTTTTAAAAACCATATATTTTTAGTGTAAAATTTAGTGTAATAGATTGGAGTTCATCTATACTAAAATAATGGTGACACTATTTTAGTGTAAAATTTGATGTTATCTTGAGACTTGAGTATAGTTTTCATACGTATACTCCAGAATTCGTAGCTTTCTCCCTTGAAGACATGAATAATGGTTGTGCCACACTCAATGAACTACTGTTAGTTGTCATGTGCTCTGATACCAAGAATTATTGGGCAGAGAATAGAGGAAAGACACAAAAATCAGAGAAACAAGGAAAGTGCAGAGAATATTAAAGACAAATCGTGCTACTTCTTCTTTTATTTATTGAACTGAAGTTATTCAAATAACAAAAACAACATGCCCAAATATAAAGGCTAAGAAATAAATAACTAATCCTAAAATATAGGTCCTATGACCCACTAAAACACTATTTCAGCCAGTGATGAAGGCGGGATTTTCATCAAGGGGGTTCAAAAAAACTAATCACGCAAATAATATCCACAAATAAACGGGTCGAGTCGGATATAAATGGATCGGATAGAAATACTTAATTTAGAGCACATATATCTAAAAACTTAAATAGATCAAACAGAAATGAAAAATGCAAACATGAGGAGAGTCTTGAAAGTTTCAAGAATGAAATTGGAAATGACCAATTTTTTTATTTATTAATTTTGATTCAAATAGACCAACATAAGACATCACATCGTAGAATATATAACAAAATATAGAGAAGTCTATCAAAATATAATTTTACTGTCAGTCATAAATTATAAATTGTATGATTGTACATGAATTGATTTGGTTTGAGTTTTTAAATATCAAATTATTTTTTTTAGGATTTTAAAATTTGTACATTAAATCTCTGATTTTTTTTTTTGAATATTTTCCGATAAAATCTTCATATAAACATATAATTAAGTTGCGAATATTTCTGACATTAGGAAAAATTTACCAATTTCTAATACTGAAAAATATAGTTTTGATTTAGATAGAATTTTCAGTTTAGAAGGTAAAATTTTCTAAAAAGGGTTTGATTATCTTCTTTTTTCTATCCTCTGTCATAGTTCATGATAGTTACAAATATTTTTCCTTTCAAAAAAATTTCTTTACTTTACCTTAATTAGATTTTAAATATTAATTTATTTTTTTTATCAAATTTGAATATCCACTCCTTTCATGTCAATTTTTATTTAAATATTCAAATTTGAAATTATTATCATTTTTTTAAATACTTAAACTAAGACTTGTATTGTATAAATATTTGTAGACTATAGCACGACCCTAATATACCTTTCAGAAATTGCAAAATTTTATAGAGTAAGTTTTACTTTTATTTATTTTACTGTATTCTTTTTGCGAATGTTATATTGAAAATAATTTCATCAAATTGTTTGACATTGGAAATTTTTTACCAATTCCTAATATTTTGAGAGATACTCCCTCCATCCATTTTTATTTGTCACGTTGCGCTTTTCGAAAGTCAATTTGACTAATTTTTAAAGTTAAATTAGATTACATTAGTTCAATACTTTAAAAAAATGTAGATATTCAAAAACTATACGAGAAGTACTATAAATTGTAATTTTTTACATATTAATATAATGAAAAAATACACCATAAAATGTTAGTCAAAGTTTTTATAGTTTTACTCTAAAATGAAAACTATAATAGTTAAAAGTGGATGAATATAGCATATTTTTTAAAAAAATCAATTTAAAAGGAAAAAGAAGGAAGAAAAATGTTCTAAGTTGAAGCTGAAAGATGTCGGAATTTGTTCTCCCTTTTGGATGTGACGAGCATTAAAGAATAGTGGACCCCATAATTCATTTTATTTATATTTATATTTATATTTTATTTAATATAATTTTATTGGGTCATGCCAATTTTAAATTGTATTTTCTCTTTTTTGTTGTAATTTTTAAGCATTAAAGTTAAAGAATGGGTTCACTATATCCGAGTGTCATAACCCACAAGACTAGTGGAGCCTTACACAATTATTGGAAGCAACAAAATAAAAGTAAAATTTGAATTGCCTTCCAAGAAGCGTCTTATTTAACATCGTGACACAATATAGTTCTAATTTCTTCAACAATCATTCTTGGGATTTAGTATGGTATCACTAGGAAATGTTTCATTTTGCCTTGGATTGAAATGGGTGGAGATCTATCACATTTGAGTCTCCAGTTATTTTATCAACACCGAATAAGAGGTCACTATTTCAGA